ATTCACTTTAGATTACACCAAAGGCTTCGTTATCCCTAATCCCGCCTTTAAACCCGCAATTATAGATTCCTCTAATAATCTAGGAGTGGTGTTGTTCAACAATAACCTAAATATGCACTCTTTTCCAAGTTATGCACACTAAATAGGCACAGCTAATTAGGATCCTGTCAATTAACTACAACGAAACACGAAGTTGAACAAGTAGAGATAAAGTGGCAATTTTTGTATTCACATAAACAAGAAGTTCATCACCCAATAGGTTCCATCAAAGCCTTAGACAAGGAATTTAGCTACTCATGGCTATGGGAAAGTAAACTAAGCTTGGATTCATCATAAAATCAAAAGAAAAGAAGAAAGATGTTTAGAGTATATTCTCACAATGTTTTCCTTGCTAAGAAACCTAAAAAATCAATACATGCCTCTCTTGGGCGAAGTCTAATGTTTTAAATAGGGTTTAGGTCTAAAAATCCCGTAATTGACACTTTGGTCCCTGAAGTTTCTGCGCCTACAGCGGTTCTGCCGCGGTCGCGGTAGAACCGCGGCCAAACACCCTCGCGGAATCACTGAGGTTCTGCAGCTGCTTCCCACCGCGGTTCTGCCGCGGTCGCGGTGGAACCGCGGTGGACCCAGTGCTCTGAATCTTCGGCCTGTTTTTGCGTGGTTCACTTGGGAAATTTCACAGTTGGCCTCTTTTTCATCACTTTTAACTCCAAAACTGCTCCTTAGCCTTCCTTATACATATTTCACCTACAAATCATGAAAAGCACTAATAAGAGCATTTTGTTATACTTTTAGCATTAAAACTACACAAGAAGGTGATTATTTAAGGTGTGATTATAGTCAAATTCACCTATTATCAGACAGTCATCAAATTAATATGTCTGAAACTAGTACTTTAATATGTTAAAGTTGGGTTAGGGGAGAAATGCAAATTACTTTTCTCCGAAATGATATGTTTGTTCATATGTCTGTCACGGCAAAATGAAGGCATTTCCATAGGGCATTGATAAATGCTGAAATTAATTCTCGAATTTTATGAGGCTGAAAGTAGTACTTTACTATGTTAAATTTGGTCATGGAGAAACGCTTTTGCATAATCACTTTTCTTTTGAGTGATATGTTTCTTCATGTAACGACCCAGTCGTTCGTTCTGAGAGTAATAGCCCTATTTCCCCATCTGTGCTTATTTATGTATTGTTCAGCTGTGTTGAGTTGAATCGAGTTGGTAGGTTTGGGTTTGGAGTAGTTTTGGAGTGAAATGAACACTTAGTCTCTTAGTTAGAAAGCTAAGTTAGAAAAGTCAACCGGAAGTTGACTTATGAGTAAACGAATTTGGATTTGGATTTTTACGATTTGATTAGCTTTGTTGGGTGATTTTAGACTTAGGAGTGTGTCCGGAATATAATTTGGAGGTCAGTGGTAGAATTAGGCTTGAATTGGCGAAAGTTGGAAGTTTAGAAGTTCTTAGGCTTGAATTCGAGGTTGATTTGGTGTTTTGGTGTTGTTTTAGGTGTTCTGAAGGTTCGACTAAGTTCGGAAAGTGATATATTATTTGTTGGAATTATTAATTGAGGTCCCGAGGGTATCGGGTGAGTTCTGGATAGGTTTAAGTTGTGTTGCGCTCATTTTTCTTATGTTTCGACACTGTTTGTTCGAGCATAAATGATATCATATTGAACAAATGAGCTTCAATTCTTTTTCGATTGAAGCATTAGATCCGTATCGTAATTACAGACCCGTAGAAAAAAAATCGTCGAATTTGGACATCGTATGATGATTTAATGATCATTTTACTAAGAAATAGGTTGCTAGATTTTTCAGATTAATTACGAAATTGCCACTGACGGCGTATTTAAAAATCTGCACTATTTGCAAATATTAAAACCTATATATTTTATTCATTATAAGGTCAAATTCAGTGATTCAAAAGCCTAGCTAGACTAGAATTTCACAAGGAATCCATTGGAGGCATAAAATACGAGTTTCGGAATTGTTTGGCACAAGAAACGAGGCAGAATAGCTGGCAGAAAAATATATAAAACTAGGGTTTGTTCATTCGGTCATATTTTGAGTTGGGGAGCTCGGATTTGGGCGATTTTTTAGGCGATTTTCATCATATGGATTGGGATAAGTGTTCTCTACTTGGTTTTAGTTATATCTCATGAATCCATCTTCGTTTTGGGATTTTAGTGATGATTTCAAAGTTAAATTGAGGGAGTTAGGGTTTGAGTTTTGGAGAGTTTTAAGTGAGGAATTGAGGGACCAAAAGGAGTACGATTTTGACAAATTTTATATGGTTAGAATCGGGAGAGGACGAGGATTATTATTCTACCATTTTTTGATTGGTTTCGAGACGTGGGCCCGGGGGCCGGGTTTTGGCCGTTTTCGGATTTTTGGTATATTTTACAATTTTTATTGTGGAATTCGATTCTTTAGTATATTTTGATGGTATTAATCTGATTATGGTTAGATTCGGAACTTTTGAAGACCGAGTCCAGAGACGAGGGCATCTCGGAGTAGGATTTTACACGGTTGAGGTAAGTAACAGTTTTAACTCTGGCTTTGAGGGTATAAACCCGGAGAAATTGATATTATGTGATTGTTTGGTGGTGATACCCACGCTAGGTGACGGGCGTGTGGGTGTGTACCGCGAGGGATTGAGACTTGGTCCGTCCCGTGAGGCTGTGAGGCCTAATGGCTATTATCTATGGTTATGTGTTTTTACTTGTTGTTGAACTTGTTGGCCTTCATGTTAGAGATCATGCTTAGGCTTTATTCATGCTCACATTATTTGTACTTAGTCATAGAAATTATTTTACCTGTTTACCTCAGTCTCTATTATTTGCTAATATGTTATAATACTTGATGTGGGTTGTGTTCCCTTATTTGTTGATGATGGTGAGGCCAGTGAGGTACATGATTGAGTGAGACCGAGGGCCTGGTTGTGAGAATATTAATACCATAGCGCGTCAGTTGTCCGCGTAGCACGTGAGTTGACCGTGCGGGTTCAGGTATTTATACCATAGCGCGTAAGTTGTCCGCGTAGCACGTGAGTTACCGTGCGGATCCAGGTATTGATATGATGGCCTGGTTGTGAGGATATTAATACCATAGCGCGTGAGTTGTCCGCGTAACACGTGAGTTGACCGTGCGGATCCAGGTATTGATATGATGGCACATGAGTTGTCCGTGCTTAGCGCTTGGGCTTTGGGAGCCCCTCCAGAGTCTGTACACACCCCTAGTGAGCGCAGAGTGTTGAGTGTGGAGTGCTGAGTGCGAGTGTTGAGTGACATTGCTATGAGGTTGCATTTACTTTTGTTGTTATTGCATTTACCTGTTAACTTCTTTGTGGTATTTGTTGGTTTTATGAAATTTACCTGTTTATTCATGTTTATTGTAAATTGTGAAAATAAATAATTGGACTATTTTACTTAGCTCGTCACTACTACTCAGTTCCTTAGTTATTTCTGTTACTACTGAGGTGGTTGTACTCAAACTACACCCTGCACTTTATGTGTAGATCCAGGTGAATTAGAGCGCGGCGATCGTTGATTTCAGGCCGGCTTTAATTGGCGACTGCAAGGTAGCTGCTAGTGTCCGCAGGACCTTGTTACTCCTCTTGTCATTTATACTTTTGGACAGTTAGACAGTTTATATATCTTAGCTTATAGTTTTAGACGCTCATGACTTAGTGACACCCCGATGTTTGGGACTATTTCCGTATTTTATCTTATTTATATATGTAAAGTTGGTTTAGTTTATCATGAATTAAATTATTGGAAATGTTTTATTAATTTCTTATAATCGGTTTAGTAGTATTATTTGGGAATAAGCTTGCCTTGTAACACGATAGGCGCCATCACGACCATGATTAAATTTTGGGTCGTGACACTTCAACTGTCTGCCTTTGCAAAATGAAGGCACTTTCCTAAGGGAATAGATGTTTACTTTGAGAACGTTGGAGGAAATATGCTGGATGAGGTGCTTTTGCACATGAATCTCTATGGTAGGATTACAGTTTCGGGGATGATCTCTCAGTACAATTTAAAGAAACCATATGGTATCCACAACTTGTTTTGCCTTATCACAAAGAGATTACGGATGGAAGGTTTCTCCGAGCTTGACTTCCAACACAAGGTTCCAGAATACCTCGAGTTTGTTATTCAGCTTATAAGAGAGAAAAAGCTGGTTTTTGTAGAAGATATTGCTGAGGGTTTGGAAAATGCTGCATCAGCTTTCGTTGGTATTTATCACGGGCGAAACGTTGGCAAGCAGATTATCCAGGTTTCAACTCATGACTGAGAACTCGCAGAATTTGGAGAAAAACAATTTTTCCTGTAATTCATTCACACTTCCTATAATACGTTGTCAAAAGCAATTTGCTGAGGATATTGATGCAGTCCTCCTATTTGAATAAACTGTTTTATTGGTTTCCTTGTTTTTAAAATGTTTCAAGTTTGAAAGTATGATGAAATGTGAGAGTGAGGATTGTATCTGAGAAGCTAAAAGAAATAAAGAATGGAGAAGAATTCTTAACCATGAAAGAAGTGTGTTTACCGTGAAAATGGTAACAACAATTAAATTTGTAAATGAGATTCTAAAAAATACGTGATCTATTCCCGAGCTAGTTGTTAGAGCAGTTGATGCTAATAATATGGAGTTTAACGATGAAACGCGAGCTAAAACGAGATAGTAATCGAGCCGAGGGGCCTGCTGCCCGGGTATAGGTCTGGTCGATGGGGGACGACGTCAGGGTCGAATTCGAGCTATCGGGGATAGTCAGGGATGGGATAACAGTTGAAGATATAATCAAACAAGACTCTTTACGGCCAATGTTAAGTAATACGATGAAGGACTAGTATGAAAGCGATGGATATCAAGGCGACCTCGGACCAACGAGAACGAACAAGTTTAGAAAGAAGAGAGAGAGAGAGAGAGAGAGAGAGAGAGAGATTATTGCACTTGTGGAGAAATGGAGCAACATCAGTCCCTTACAAGGTAGGGTGAGTTCCCTTTATATAAGAGGGGAACTCGTCTACAAGTACATGGGCATTAATTACAATGTATGGAGATGGGGCGGCTTGACGCGATGCCTCACCATAGGCTCTGAATAGGCCGGCTCTGTCAGACTTAGCCATGTGCCCTAGGAACTTCCCCTTCTGTTCTAGCCTGGACCTCCGTCTTCTTCGAATCGGACCTCGACGAGCCCCGAGGGAAGGGACTAAGTCGTAGCCCCGTGTCCTTGGGGTCTCGAGGCATACTCCCGGATGGCTTGATTGCAAGAAATCAGGCCCTCTGATTTCACCGTGTATAGATAGTCTCCGCGTTTCTCAGAACAAAGCATTGGGAAACGACTATGATCTCTGACTCCTCGAGATTCTCGAGGTGACATTATACTGACGATTCAACTCATGGCGCGATCTTTTGCGATAGATGGCATATCTCATAGACTCGTGCCCAATACACTGTCATTTCCCGCTCTTCAGGGTGAAAGTAATGCCGTCGATTTTGTTTTTCAAGGACGCTAAAATTGCATGTTCTCATGCCCCTCGAGGCCCTTTGAATGCCTTCTTTTACTTGTTGACCGTTGATATCTAACTTGGGCGCGAGCGTTCTTTCCACTCCTCTACAGATCGACATGGCTCTCTTTCGAACCCATCGTCGTACCTCGGAGCAATCCTGGATTGATCTGATAGGCCCGGGCTGCTGGGGTCCTTCGAGTTGTGTGGAGATAATGCGCCGAATTTTGGGGGCCTTCGAGGATCTTATCCTGGATGAAGATCGGCTTCAGGTACCAGGGGGTCCCTTTTGATCTTAATGCAAATAACCCCCTTCAAAATGTTTAGGATAGACTTTCTACTGAGGAGTTGCCTGTACTCAGGCGCTGCCTCGAACCTTCGTGGAGCTTTCTTGATCGGAGCTTCCCGTGCTTATTCCTCCTTTTCAGAAAAGGGGAACCGCGAGACCAGGTACTTGCCCTGCGTCGAATGATGGTGTTGAAAGCTTCCTGAAGTCCGGCTTCTTTTGGTCGGGGACCCTCGAGGTAAAATGCTATCTCGAGCTTGGAGATAATACGGATGGCTCCTTGAGTCTTGGCTTCTCGTCGAAGGATGCTTTTGGGATCGGGCATTACCCCGTCGATCTGCATCGAGGCTGTAGGTTTTTCGAGGCTTGCTCCGGGTAGGCGAGTCGCTGCTGGTTCTCGCATATATGTGGGGCGGATTCGGCATCTTCGCAAGACCTCACTATTTTTAGGTAGCTGCTCTTCCGCTTTGGCATAGGGTTTTTCATTTCTCTAGGCGCAAAAAGTGTTGGTGCATGCCCTTGCTTTGATCTGTTAGTTTTAACATAGTCATGGCAACCACTTCGGGGCCGGGCCGGCAGGGAGCGGGGAGTGCTGCTCCCGACGCTCAGGAACCGCGAGAGTTCGCTCTGAAGATAATGTCTTTCATAAGAGGGGAACATCTGGAGATGGTGAGAAAATACTGTGGATGGAGTGAGGGGATAGCGCTGCAGCTGCTTCCCCCGGATGAGAGTATTACGGACTCCACTGATGGATTCTTGAGTGTATATCTATATCTTTTTGCGTTTGGTCCCCCTGATAGGGTTGCGCTTGATTTTTGCTTGAAGTATCGGGTTACTTTGGCGCAGATATATCCGTCGTTTTGGCGCGTGGTGCTGATGATGAGGTTTTTTGCGGAGAAGGCTGTTCTTGAATTCACGCTTAACCATCTTGTCAGGCTATATCGGCCCTTTCATCACCAAGTCCTGCTAACCCTGAGGTACCGTTCGTCCACACCTTTTGTAGTTGACGATGAAGAGGATGGGGATTGAGAGTGGGCCGGTTTGTTTATCCGGGTCCGCACGGTCGACATTATCCTCGCGGAGCTTTTGCCATTTCCCGAAGGGTAGAATTACGCACGTGAGTGGAGCGTCTGGTGCCCTCTCAGATTTTGCCTATAGCGAAAGTCAGTTGAATAATAGTGTTTTTTACCTTGTTGTAGCAACTTCATAGACGTCGGGCGAAGTCTTTGACCTCCCCGGCTGGGTCCGGAGGCTGGTGACCCATTCGGCCTGCGATGAGCGTGGTGGCGAGTTGTGCTTCGTATCAGGTGGGGAGAAAAATACCAAGGTATGTGCACGTGCTGCCTTTGCCTTGGCCTTCGTATATTTTAGGTAACATTTTCCCCTTTCATTTGTACCGGATTCGCCACTTGCAGATATCGGGTGGTTCCCTGGGATGAGGTAGTGCTCTTCCGAAGAGGTGAAGGAATCGTTGGCCTCTGAACCGAGGGATGATGGCGATAAGCTGGATCGGCACCCGCGAGGTGATGGAGCTTTTAGTGGTGCTGATCGGGCCTGTGTTTCCAAGGAGAGGGCATCGTTCGAGTCTGCTGCTCCCGGAATACCTGATTCCAGGTCGGCGGTGCCTTCGAGTGAATATGCTTTGCCCGAGGCCATTCTCCTAGTGCCGAAGAGGCAGGATCAACAGGAGTGTGTTCCGACTTCGAGGAAGTCCGTCGGCTTCACTTCGTGGTGAGTTTAGGCGTAGTTTCCCTGTATTCCGTGTCCTCCTCCCTCTATTGAGCTTTTCTTGTGCAGGCCTGTGATTGGCTTATGTGTGAGCTGCTCCGTCAAGGGACCAGGCTTTAGAAAATTCTGGGCGAGGGCGAGTCCCTTAGGCTTCTTAGCGAGGAGAAGGAGATCGAGTTGCTGCATTGGCGATTTGAGGTGTACCGGAGCTCGAATTACGAGAACTATTTGATTGAGCAGGTAACTTTTTGCAGCTCGCGCTTTGCTCTCTTTGGCCCTTAAGGTTAACCCCTTTTTTGTTATATTAGCTGCAGAAAAAGACGGAGGCTTTGGAGTACCTTAAGGGCGACATCGATCGCGTCAGAACTGCCTGTGGTGAGCTAAGGGCTCATGTGAAAGCTCAAGCTTTAGAGGAGGCAAGCGCCTCGGCCAAGGTCCCCGCCTTCGAAGTCCTACTCCGCTTGGCTCGTGATAATGCCAAAGTTCAAGCGGATATGATCGGGAAATTTGAATCTGATCTTTCGAAGATCAGGGCTGTGATAATTGATGCCCGGGCTGAGGCGACGCTAAATGGAACCAAGGCTGATAAGGAGATGGCGATTCGTATGAAAGACGCTGCGGATGCTCAAGCCGAGCTAAAGGGATCCCTCGACCGGGAGAAGAGGATCGAGGAATATGTCCGTTACAGATCCCGAAGAAAAGTACTCGGGGAGATTGGCGCGAGGGGCTTCGTTCTCTTAGAGGAATTGGCTCGAGCAAGGGCGGACGAGCGTGACACGCGGTCATTCCTTGACGAGGTGGAGAGCAAACCCGGCAAGCCGTACCCCTTCGGAGCGGAGCATAGATTTCATCGTTTTATCGCTTTGTATTTGATATATGTAGAGCATGTCTGTAGATGGAGAGTGCGCCCCCCCCCCCCCCCCTTTTTGCGAATGTAATATAAGAGGAAATTTGAAGCTTTATTTCTTCTGCATCTCTTTTCTGTTATTGCTTTTGGCCAGGCAGGCTGGTTTCGATGTTTGGCGGGATCCTCGTAGGTCTGGAACCGATTGGTCAGGCGCGGGGGCTCTTAAGTGCAATCCTTGACGTTAGCAGGCGTTGGGGCCTCTGTGCTTTGACCTGCCGTTTAGGCTTAGTCTCCGAGCCAGGCTTCGACTCGAGCCTTCCTGCCCTTAAATCATCTAAGTCCGTGCGGGCATGTAGTAATTGTATCCATTTCTTGCCCTTGGGCATTTGCTATTTGGACTATTTTGGGTCCAGTCTCCGAGTCACGTTGCGATTCGAGCTTTAATTGACCCTCAAGTTCTTTCCTGCCCGCATGGGCGGACGGCGATGGCCTTTCGTGCTTCGGGTCGAAGTGACCTTACAGGTGGATGACCCGGAGGCTCACTCATCTGGCGATAGTGGCATTTATGCCGTGCCCTTAATCGTATTATAGTTTAGCCAATTTGGGTCCAGTCTCCGAGTCGCGTTGCGATTCAAGCTTCAATTGACCCTCAAGTGCTTTCCTGCCTGCATGGGCGGACGGTGATGGCCTTTTGTGTTTCATGTCGAAGTGACCTTGTAGGTGGGTGTCCCGGAGGCTCACTTGGCTGACGATCGTGACATTTATGCCGTGCCCTTAGGCATATTGTAGTTTAACCATTTCGAGTCCAGTCTCCGAGTCACATTGCACTCCGAGCTTTAATTGACCCTTAAGTATTTTGGTCGTTAAGACCTTTCAATACGTGGCCCAGAGGCTTGCATAGTTAACTATTTTGGATCCGGTC